GGCGGGGCCTCCGTGAGGGGAGGCAGAGGAGGAGGAGAGCTGCAAGCAAAGCAGGCTTAGAAGACATCTCCTGGTGCAGGTGGGAGCAAGGTTGTGTCCCACCAGGGAGAATCGCGCTGTCCTGAAGCGCAAAGCGGAGGAGCTGGGGCTCGCTTTGCCCATTTGTGCCTGTGGCACGGAAAGCCAGGCTGGAAAAGGCAACCAAACAGCCCAGGCGTGGCTGGCAGATCCCGCGCGAGGGATGGGTGCCAGGCCAGGGTGCAGGAAAGGAGACGGGAGCTCCTGCCTCGTTCCCTGCAGCTGCACCCCCTAGGCCACCTCAGCCCCAGCGCTCGCACCGCACCGGCAGGAGAAACAGAGCAAACATCTCCAGGGAGCGTGTTCGGAAAATACCGGGTTTTATTAGACAGGCTGATGTTCGAGCTGACAGTTTTATCCCAATGCGCACGATCCCGGGCATTTGCGTGGGCCTGTGTCCCAGCTCCCGCACTTCTGCGATGCCCTTGGGCGAGACGCTCACCCCCCTCCCCAGCTCCATGGGCGCAGGGCTTGGTGTTTCTTGGCAAAATGATCTCCCTGCTCCCCATTTCCACCCCTGGATCCCCAGAGCCCTTGTAAGAAAGCTCAGAAACAGCTGGGCTGGGGATGACAGTCTCCTGGGACTGACAGCCACTTGGATCCACGGGACAGAAAGCATCTCGGTGTCAGCATCTCCCCGAGCCGACACGGAGCCAAATCAGCATGCATCACAGGGAGCGGAAAACAGCCCCAGCTTCAGACCACCGCTGCCATCGATTTGGAAAAAGAACCCTAACGTACGGTATCGAGGGGAGGGAAAGGTTTTGGCTGTCACAGAGGAGCCCCATCCAGGACACTGGCACCAGGGCTTTGCACAGGGTGTGTGGGTGCTGAAGGGAGAGAAAGGGAGGACAGGAGGCAATGGGTGCTGGAGGATAAAGAGAAAGAAAAGGGAAACAGAGAAGGGATGGGGAGAACGGTGGGAGCAGCCTGAGAGCAGAGCAATGGTGCCTTCGGGTTCAAAGCCATAATGGAGAGTCTGAGCTCCTTCCTGGGATGGGGGGGCCTTTCCCTGGGCACCCCAGAGCCCAAGGGCTTTGGGGGACAGGGCAGCAAGGAAAGAGATGGCGCGATACGGCACCTGCAAATAGAAACATTTGATGGCCTTTGCTTGCCATGACAGTGAGACGCAGTGTGACGGCAGGAACAGTGACAATATCAGCCCGTTTCTTTCAGTGCTTCTAGTACATCAGCTCTTAAGAAAACCATGCAGACTAGCCCGGTGGAGGAGAGTGAGAGCTGAGGAGGACCAGGTGAGACTCTGACGAGCAGCAGGATCACTTACAAGAAAGAAGAAGGAACATCAGCAGGGAGGCAGCAGCTCTGGGGCAGGTTTGAGACCTCATGGCGCTGACTCACGAGCACATCACTGCTCTCCAGGCTGTGCTGGCTGCTGCTTTCTCTGACACTCCGCTTGCCTTCGCTTGTACCACTGGTCCCCTCTGCGCTGTGGGCAAAATCCCTCTGCGCAAGCCATGCCCCTTCCCATGCTTGGACGTAGATCTGGGTTTTGTCTTCAGCAGTTCAAAGGTAGATTCCTACCTCAAAGCAGAGGCAAAGGAGCATGGAAGTCCCTGGGGCAGCATCCACTCAAACTCATCTGGACTCAAAAGGACGTCTTCTTCGCAGTGCCTGGCCTCAGTGCCAAGGGACAGGGAGCCTCCACAGACCTTCTGCCCTAGCCCACGTCCCGTTGGGCATGTGGAGACAAGGGGCGCTGCCCTTCACACCCTTCCCATCACAACACAGCCTTCCATCCCCAGCTTTCTCTTTGCCTCTTTCATTCCTTTTGCCTTTTTCTTGCCTCACCCGGCACCTCCATGTCTTCTTGTTCCTGTCCAAGGTAAGTTGCTCTGCTCCAGAGGTTTCCTGGAGAGCAGGACCTTGTGGTCATTTGGCAGGAGGAACGAGAAAGGTCATTCAGCAGGTCATTGGCGATCTTGCAGATGCCGGTCTCCATCCAGGGCAACATCTACCTCTTGGTTGGATTGTGCTTGGCTCAGCAGCCAGACGTGCTGGCCGTGAGTGCCAAGTGACAAGGCCACCCCTAATCCCCTGGCTTTCACTGCCAGGTTTCAAGGTCAGCTGTCCAAGGGGAACCTTACCCTGCCCGGGTGCTTCCAGAGCAATACTCCTTCTCCTCCCAGGACTGAGCATTGATGCACAGAGATGAGTCAACAAAATCATGGCTAAAATGAGGGGAGTTCGGTGAACAAGCCAGAGAAACCTGGCTGGGCTTCCTAGGGAGAACAGAGCAGCAGATGGGCAAAATGGATGCAGCTAGTGACCCCCATTCCACAGAGCGCAAAAACACAGGGGTCTGAGTCTGACAAAACAGCAACATGGACTTCAACAAGGTCAAACTGCCAAACTCTTCACCCTCGGAGCCCTGCTGACCCTCAGGCTTGACTTGCCAGCATGGGTTTTTGAGGTTGAAGGCACACGCAGGCACCAAGTGCCCTGTCCCTGTGCTGGCCCAGGGAGAGGAAAACCTACTCATGGCTCCTTGCGGGACTGTGGGGTTTGGGGTGCTGGCCCTCCTCCTCCAGCACAGCTCAGCCAGTCCTGGCAGCTCCTTTCCAGCCCACTTCTTCCTCTGACATGGACTTGCAAATCCCATCACAGCTACCTGTCTGGAGCTACAAATGCCCCTGCAAAAGCTCTTTCTTAAGGCGCACACCCAGGTGAAGGCTGCAGAAGTTCAACTCAGCTGTTAAGTGAAAGGAGAACTCACCAAGCAACCTGAAAGTCTCGGAAAGAAAAATGAGATCGCTATTTGTAGAGATTTGTAGGGTGTTTGTGCCTGAAAACAGCATCTGGGACCTGGGCTCTCTTTCCTTGGCCAGCGCATTGCCCTAGGGCTCCCGGTGATGCCCTGGCTTAGTGCTTCACCGCTCTCCCCTGTGCTCTCATGCCGTGCCCTCGTTCTCACTCCCTGCCGGCTTCGGGGATGCAGAGGTTGAAACTCCTGTTCATGCACTCTTGGCACCAGTGAAAATCAGCTACAGTTCTAGCTCACCGTGCATTACTCATACTTTCAGCTTAAATATTGCCTTCTACTCAAAAGAAAAAAGATAAAATGTCAGGAATTCACAGTTTTTATTCTCTTTCTTATGCCCACCCGTCTTCCCCTGCCATCGATGTCAATGACTCAAAGTCTTCGTTGCACAGTAGCCTTTGCCAGTGTGGCACTCAAAGGGTTAACAAACCACGGCTTCTTGGACAGATAAGACATAAGCTCATTCACCACTAGGAACACGTGGAGGGTTATATTACAGAACACCTTAGGGTTTCCTGTAGCGATTCTTTGGGGTTTCGCCACAGCCAGTGATGTCGCAGGAGAGAACATTGGGCTTCTTCCCCAAGCCAATGCTTCCCAAGAGATCGGGAAGCTCGCGAGTGATGGCCTTCTCAATCTTGTCTAGGAAACACCCTCCCATGTAGGAACACTGCTGAGACAGCAGCTTAAAACTGGTGATGGGGTTGATGCCAAAGAAGTCCTTGTAAGCCTCGCGGTTGGGGAGGTCAAATTTGCTGACATTGGTCTTTGCCAGAATGGACTTAAAGATAAAGAACTTGTCAGGATCTTCCACAATGTCCCTGAACACCAGTTCTCCATCGCTAAAGAAGGTCATTTTGTCTTTGTAGGTCTGTAGATAGCGATCGACCAAAAGGGCGTGGATGCGCACCCGGATGGCATGCTGGCGTATGAAGGCAATCTTATTTTCCATCCTGTTCTCAATCACCTGGTTGAGATCTTCTAGGAGCGATATCTCTTCTTTGAGGAACAGGTCTTTGTGGGTATCTGGATGGTACTCCTGGGGCCAGAAGGAGCTAACATACACCCTGGGTGGCTCTGTGACGTTGATGAGAGGAGCCAGGCTCCAGAATAAGGCACCATAGACTCTCATGAGCTCCTGGGTAGCCAGGCTGTCGGCTTTGTTCAAAATGATTCGGATCTGAGACTCGCGGCCCTTCAGCTGGCGAAACAGCATCTCCAGCTCCAAGCCCACGTCCAGCTTCGTAGGATCAAAAACAACGAAGATGAGGTCAGCTCTGTCAATGAACCACTGGCACACATCATTGAACGGGTAACCTTGAGGAGAGGAAAGAGACAAATCCAGCAGAAATGGCCAGCACAGGAGGAGTCCTTTCAGGTCAATGGATAGATAAATCTTGAGCCTGCTGTGTCTCACGCCCTGTCTGGGTTGGACAGGGTGTGAGAAACAACGGACTTCCCATGAAGCCCAGAACCTGTTTCTCATGTGCTGAAAACAGTTCAGAGTTTCTTGGCATGAAAACCCATCCCTGTGTGTCTGGGCCTGTGACTACGTGTCTCCCTCAGCCTCATCTCGAAACCTTCTTTCTCCCTGCTGCTGGCCACGGATTCCCGCCACTCCTGTGAGCAGATACCAGCCACATTATTTCTCTCCCCACTGGGCACCAAGTGGGTCAAGAAGCCCTGCTGATCTGTCCTGGCGTTCCAGGTGCTGTGGGGATAGTGCTTCTCTGGGCCCTCCTTTAGCACTAGCCTTTGGCAAAGCCTGGCTACAAGGGTGACAAATGGGGCATTGAATGTCGAGCCAAGGCAGACAATCAATGGCCCAAGGAGTCCCCAGGAGATACCTTGCCCAAACACCTGACTGTCACACCTCCAAACAGCAGAAACGGCTGCTCTAACTGATGTTCAGGTGTGTTCCCCAGGCCCCAGTTTCTGCTGCCATGGCCATGGGCAGACAAACATCACCATCCCCTCCAACGCAAGACCACTTTTGTAGCCTAGGGCTCTTCCCCATGGTGCTTCAGTCATCTTTGTCATCTCACATCGTTATGACATCTTTTCTGGAGTCACTTAGGTGAACTCAGTAAACCCCTACCTCGTTCTTGCTGCTTGCGGTTTTCAATGATGCCCGGTGTGTCCACGAAGGTGACTCGCTCCAGCAGTTTGTGGGGCACCTCGATCCCTATCAGCTTCTCCAGGAAGTTCTGCCCAAACTTCTCCAGGGGCGAGAAGGAGCGGGCGCTGTCAGCAGCCATCACGATGCCCTCGATGGTCTTCAGCTTGGGGCCGTGCATGATGACAGTGAATTCGGAGGTGGTGGGTTCTGCCCCTGCCCAGCAATGAGAGGAGCAGCAGAGCTGTGAAATCCATGCCAGGCAATGGACATGACAGGGCTGGCCTGGGACTAGCCTGGGAGCTCAGGAGCATTTCTTGCTTGCCAAGGGATGCTGGGGGAAGGCAAGCAGTGGGGCCATGAAATTGTTGCCAAACCTCTTGAGAACGTGCTAGCAGGGCTGTTTTCTGCGGAGACTGGTTGTTCTGGAAGTGGCCTGACAGCACAGGGCACTCTGGAGAACCACCTCCTGGGAGCCTTCATTACCTTGGCACAGAGCTGACCACGGACGTCTGCCCTCAGCTGCAAGATGACATCCGCGGGAGCAGGGAAGAGGGAAGAGGAATGGCTTTTCTCCTGAGAGGGTGAACTAGTTTGCTCCACTTGAGGAGGGGAGAGGAGAAGATGAAGGCGAGTTCCCCTTGTGACATGACTGCTGCTCTCGCAGTCAGGAGTGGTGAGCCCTGCACTGTGGGATGGGGATGCTGCAGGGTCAGGTGCCCTCCTCCTGCTCAGGGAGGGGGGAAAGGCCCTGGGCTGTGGTGGGGAACCTCTCCCTCCATGTGGCACTGCAGCTGGGTGGCACGGACCAGATTGCAACCCCCCTGCCATAACGAGGGGGATCGAAGAGATGCGGCCAGGAACTGCTGACTGCGGGGATGCAGAAACGCAGGCACCAGCGCACTCTCGGCAGAGCAGGGAGGGAGCGGTGAGCGTGGTACCTGTGTAGAGCTGGTAGGGAGTGTCATCCAGCCCAAGGAGGTAGTTTATCATGGAGGATTTGCCGACGCTCCATGGTCCCAGGAATAGCACCATTGGTTTGGAAGTGATCTCCCCATCTGCAGAGAGGGGAAATAACAAGAGGAAGTGAAGAAACAATAGCTGTCACCGCCAGGTGATTAAGTCCCAGCTGTAATGAACATCCCATCCGAGTGGCGCGGTGATGCCGCCGGGGAAACAGCTGCCCTTTGGGGCCACCAGCCATTTGCGAGCCAAGGCATCGCCCAGCAACAGGCCCCAGTGTCTGCACGAGTGGGACATCACCATGCTCTGCGGAAGACCCCACCTTGCTGCAGTGAGAGCGAACCTTGTCTGATCTGCTCTGAGGTTTGGCCTTTCTTAGACTACGGGAGGACTTCAAGGTCTTTTAAACCTTGTCTCAGTTCGGTTCGTGTTTAGCCAGAGTCAGTTTAGGGCTGGCTGCAGCGGGACTGTTGTCTGAAGGCAGCTGCTGCGAAGCATGGGACATGCGAACGAGGTGGCCATGCTGTAACCAGGCGAACGCCTCGTGTAAAGGGAGCTGGCATGGTTGAAGGAGCAACACTTTGGTGTCGTGCTTGGCATAAGCGTGGTGCGAGCCTTGGCCTGGCTGCCTTCATTGCATTTCTGCCATACCCTCGCAGGGATCTGCCCCCAAGTCATGGCTCCGAGCCTTCCGATCGAGCAGAAGGTCTCTGCCCACCTGTGGGCTGGGTGTGAGGGTCCAGCCCAGCATGGGGAGGGGAGGCTGGGCAAATGGCCCCACTTTGGGCTTGGGGAAGGCCAGGCGGAGAATGAACTGCAGTCCCCACCCCACACTCTTCAAGTCCTGCAGTTTGCTAAGGGGCTCAGGGAGGCTGGTGGTGGGCCCGTAAGGACCTGTCCTGATGCCAAGCAATCGGTCTGGGAGCTCGGAAGTCCCTGGACACATTCTGCCACTGCCCCGGGAGCAATCCCTGCTCAAGCGGGACTTGTGCAGTCACACAGCTTGACCCCCAGCCCCCAGGCCACTGGGCAGGCAGCCGGTGGAGCCGGAGGAGCCCCTGGCCCATGCCAGCCCCCAAGCCATACCCAGGATAGCCGGGATCCTGCTAGTCAACTCAAGCCCAGGTCAGGCCAGAAATGGAAATAAAAACTGGAGGAGTGAGTTCCTGCTGGTGGGAACCTTCCCTGTGCCCGTTTGTGTACCAGCACTGATATAGTCTGATGAACCCGGGTGGGGAATGGTGCTGGGAGAGCCGTGGTGGCAGACGGCAGAGAGCAGAGCAAGCTGTGGCCACCCTGCCATGGTGTCAACTCAGCGCAGCCCTTGGGCATCTGCTGCAGGTGGGGACGTGCCCGGCAGCAGGCACTTGCTGCTCCCCACCCCTGGCAGCAGGGACTCACGCTCTTGTCCCCTTCCCCATCCTGGCGCAGGGTGGGAGAGGGCCCGTCCCCCTGTCCAGCGCAGGGGCTGGATGCCACCAGAGGAGATGGGAGCTGCTGTCCCTCAGCCAGAGGTGAGCCTTCCCCGTGGCCCAGGGTGAGAAGATGCCCTTAGAGGACCCACATTGCTCTCAGGACCTCGTCTTCAGCCCCACTTCTAAAGCAGAGCTGTTCTCCCTGTGCTGGCTGAGAGAGCCCGCTGCTCCCATGGCTGCTGCGCTGAGCACACAGGAGCCAGCAGCTTCCCAGCAAGCCGGGGATCCGTTTCCAAGGTGGGGAAGTCACAAAGCCTGCATGGTGCTGAGCTCCCACTCCCAAGGGTGCTGGAGGGCCCTGCATGGCATCTCCACACCGAACCCATCCAACCATGGGTGCAGGAGTTGGGCAGAGCATGCCAGCCTCCTCCTGCCTACATCTGCCCATCACAGGGCCACCGTGTCATGGCTGGGGAAGGGAATGGGCTGAGGACACCTCTCCAAGAGGCACAGCTGCGTCCACGCAGCTCAACCCTCCTCCCTGAAGAAGCCCAGCCACATCTGAACTGGGGGACAGCCCTGCCCGCTGCCCTCTCCCTGCCTGCGAGCTGCGAGGATCCAACGTTGCCTTGTCACGCAGGAGAAAAACATGTTGAAACCTCGGACTTTCGTTATTAATCATTCCTCTGTGCCACTCTATCACTGCTACTCTGTTCACTTGCCGGCTTTAATTGGGTTTCAGATTATTATTATTATCCCGTGCCAAATGTTTGAGGCGGGTCCCCGCGTGCTCTTTCATAACGCGTTCCTGGCGAGGCGTGGTTGTGTGAACGCAGGCAGCCCGCATGCCCCGGCTCCACTTCACGACCCCACCTCTGCCCCGCTGTGCCGAGGCGGGCAGCGATGCAGGCAGCACCCCTGCTGCGTCACCAACAGCTCGCCGAGACCTTCTCTTCCCCTTGCTTTGGGAACTGGGCGCTGGCACCCTATGGGCTCTGTGGGCAGTGCCTGGCACTGGATCCTTGGGGCTCTCCAGGTAGCACAGCAGCTCCGAGGATGTGAGGCCATGTGTGGGTCCTCCTTATTGCTGCTGCCCAGGGGCATCTCCCACCCAGGAGGGTGCTGGCCTGGCATCTGTCCCTGCTATGTCTGTCTGGCACCGATTTGCGTCACCTGGATGGTCCAGCCAGGGCAGAAGAGCCGGTCCTCGCCAGCAGCAGGGCAGGGATGGCAGCCGCCCCCTCCCCG